TGGTTGTATCCTTTAGCTTATAAAAGTGAAATGTATGATAAGTTTCCTGAGTTTAAAGCCTATGCTGAAAACTAATTCTCTACTTCACTTAAGATTCTTAGAACTGATGGTGGCACTGAATACTGTAATAATAAAATGAAAGCTTTTACCACAGCTCAAGGTATTATGCATCAACATTCTTGTCCATATACACCACCACAAAATGGTGTGGCTGAGAGAAAACATAGACATCTCACTGAAGTTACTATAGCCCTATTACATCATTCTTCAGTTCCTCTTCATTTTTGGTTTGATGCTCTTGCTTGTGCTACTTATCTAGTTAACAGATTGTCTCTTTCTAAACTGGGTCACAAAACTCCTTTTGAAGTTTTGTTTCACCATCTTCCAGATTTTTCATTTCTAAGAACCTTTGGTTGTTAGTGTTTTCCTTGGTTAAAACCCTATACCTCTACTAAGTTGCAGCCTAAATCTATTGCATGTGTGTTTTTAGGCTATCATCCTTTTGCTAAAGGTTATAGATGTCTTGATCCCCTTTCTGGTAAAATTTACTTATCAAGACATGTTGTGTTTAATGAACATGTGTTTCCTTTTTCTATGTCCACACCTACTTCTTCTTCTCTTCCATCTATTTCTTTATTACCTCAGATTCAGTCATTTTTTGGTCTTCTCCAGTTTCTTCTTCTTCTTCTCCTTCAACGCCAATCCTTCTTCTTCACCATCTGTTATTTACTCTCCAACTAAGTCAGTCTCTTTGCCAGTTGAGTCAGTCTCTTTGCCTCTGATTTCTCCTATTCTTCAACCCTCTATTCCAATTCAATCTCTCTCTATTCAATTGCCTTTGCTTTCTCCTACTGCTTCTCATTCTTCTGTTTCTTCTTTAATCTTCATCCCATGGTTACCAAATCTAAACCTACTGCACTTTCCTCTGTCAGAACCTCTTCTACTTGTGATTCTGATTCCACTACTGAGACTTTCTCTCACAAAGAAGCTATTCTTATTCCAATATGGAAACATAATCTTTTTGCCAATCCAACTCTATATCGAAGTGTGATTGGTGCTTTGCAATACTTGACAATTACCAGGCTTGACTGGTCCTTTGCAGTCAATCAGTTATGTCAACATATGCAGGCACCTACTTATGCTCATTTTTCTGCAGTCAAAAGGGTTCTTCGATTTGTTAAGGGTACTCTTTATCATGGGCTCACATACACTCCTAGTTCTTTTGACTTTCATGCTTGTTCAGACTCCAACTAGGCTGGGCATTTCCTTGACAGAAAGTCTACCTCTGGTTATTGTGTGTTTCTAGGGACTAATCTCATCTCCTGGTCTGCCAAGAAGCAAGCTATTGTCTCTCGGTCCTCTACTGAAGCTGAGAACAGGTCTTTGGCTCATACTGCTGCAGAACTTGCTTAGCTTGGCATGGCATGCTTCTCCATGACTTTTGTATTGCTTCTCCTACTATGTCACTGCTCTGGTGTGATAATGTTTTTGCCATTGCTCTAGCATATAATCCTGTCTTTCATTCAAGATCCAAACACATTGAGGTCATTGTCATTTTGTGCGCAATCAAGTTCTTGCTAAATAGCTTGTTTTGCATTATGTTCTTACTATTGATTAGCTTGCTGATATATTCACCAAGCCCTTGTCTGTCTCTCGATTTTCCTATTTTAAGGACAAGCTTATGGAGGTTTCTCCTTCCTTTTGCTTGAGGGGGAATGTTGACATCTCAGTTCCAGTTCAAGTTCAAGTTCATGCTTCAGTTCAACCTCATACGTCTCATATATTTGCAACAGATCAAAGAGTTCAAGGAGCTAAGCTGAGGCCTCATTATGGCATTCATGTGCTGCTGTCTCATGAGAATATCTCCCCAGTTAGTTAGATAGTTAGAATTGGTTAGCTTAGTTAGTTAGCTTCTTCTTGTATATATAGATGAGAGAATGATATGTGTAATATTGTGAAAAGAGTTTATGATATATGACTGGTTTATGTTTTTCATCAGCTCATTCCTGTTTGGAAGAAACTACGATACAAGAATGTGAGATTCATATGAAAAAGTAAGTAAATTAAATTTTTACTAATTTAGGAATGTGAATCATATTAAAAAATAACTTTGAAATATTAAAACTATGAAAAGACTCGGAGTCATACTTTCATTTTCTTCCAAAATTTCTGTTATTCAAAGTTAGCCTTCGATTAGTATTTGGCCAATACACTATACTGTTTGGATAACGATGTACTAATCTATTCAAACAATCAACTATAAAATGTAGTCTTTAACTGTCTTAAATATGTAATTTGGAGTAGAACGGATAAATGAATTGATATTTGGGTACTCAAGCCACAGATCCATATATGAAACTCTTGGGATAATAAGCCCAAGCTTAAATTTATTTGAGTCAGAAAGGCATTATTTGTCAAAAATGACAGTTATCTGTTCAAAACTTACATATTTGTCTATCTGTTTAAATATCACTTATCTGTGCAAATGTTTAACTATCTGTAAACACTTCACTTATCTGTTCAATATCATCTATATGTCCACCTCACTGCCACCAGCAACTTTTCAACCTATGCCCTTATTACTAAAAAAGATTAAACTTTGGATTAAATAACATATAGCCCCATAGTAATGGACTTTTCACCCATTAACCTTTATATTCCATCTACTCAAATTTTTTTTAAATTATTTTTTAAGGATTTTTACTTTCTAAAACAAAGGCTATGGAAAAGAAATATTTCACTTAGAAAAATGACCATCAAGTGGGACTAGTAAACTATATATCTTGCAAATTTTCACTAATTAATTATCCTAGATATTAATAAAAATACTTGGATACACTATAGAAAATTGCACTTTTAGCGACCAAATTTTTAGTCGCCGAAGGTTGGTTTTTGTCGCCGAAAGTCAATGGCGACTAAAGTTCTTTGTCGCCCTGTTAGTCGCCAAAGCCTTGTCAGCAATAGTCAACGGGGACTAAATTGACGTTGGTCACTAATTATCTTATCTTCGGCTACCAAAACGAACTTAGTCACCAAACATAACGTTTTGGTAACCAAATATTTAATCGCCGAAAGTAATTAAATCAAAATGAAATTCTCTTTCAATGACTAAAATATTTAGTCACTAATACTAAGTTCATCACAATAGATCTCAAATTTAGTCGCTAAAAGTGTAATTTTCTATAGTGATATAATTAACCTCTAGTGAGATTATATCAAACCCATATCCTTCAAAATCACAGGCACCTCTCTCTCTCTCTCTCCAAGTTTATTTCCATGTACCCAACAACTCTTTATTATAATCATAGTATTATTATTAATTAGCTATGCATTGTCGCTAAATTAGTATCTATCTGCTATAAATTATACTTGCATGCATTTCAGGTGATAACATTAAACAATTAGTATATATTCAAGTGATTAATGTTTGGTTATCTCCTAATTTTTTTTTTTATATTACTCATGAAAAGCACATGGTTCGGTGTAGTCAAGAAATCAAAAATCAAGTTAAAATTTTGTTTGATATACCTACAACATTTTCTCTTAAAATGTTTGCTACTCCCACCCTAAAGAAAGCTTATGAGAGGTGGCTGTGTTAGTCTTTTTCATGAAACCATAAGTATATATCATCAATGAAGTTTTTAATTTACTCAATTAATTGCTTTTACTAATTCATACGTTAGGTTTTAATATTTATTAATTGAGAATTTTGGTCCATAGTTATTGTCGTTATCATCCTCATCCTGTGGTCACTTGATTTCAAAATATGGATTCAGACTCTGAATCCAGAAGTTTATCTAGAAAATGAGACACTAAAGCTATGTTTGGTAATTTTTTCGTTTTCTATTTTCTTTTTTTTTTCTTTTTTTTTTTTTGGTATACACCAAATGAATTTGCTTATATAGTAACTAATAAAATAATATGTTATTAAACCACACCTAATAAGTTATTAGTATTTCATGTGTTGTTGGATTTAGAGATACAATATACGTAAATAATCAAGCCCATGGCTGATGATGTTCGTCCCATACTATTATGGGCTCATTAACAGAACTAATCAATTAGTAAAGGCCCAATGTGGATACCCTTGTCCATATTCCTTCTTTTGTTTTGATAATTTTTTTAACGCTAAATTAAGTTAAATTGACTAAGGTAAGGATTCAGTTTAACTAAGTTAAGTTCACAATCTAAATTAAAGGGCTGTAAAGATCATTGACGCTTAATTAAGGGGATTTTTTTTTTATTTAAATTCTTAGTATTAAGATTTTATAGGATGAATGACATGCAACATTAAATTAGCAAAATTTTAATCCAGAGAAATTTCAAAACACAAACAAATTTCTCAGTATCACTACAAGAAAACACATTTTTGGCGACCATATTTGGCTATCAAAACAAATTTAGTCGCCAAAAGTGTGGGAATTGGCTACCAAAATTAATTTCAGTCGGCAAAGGTCAACTTTTTAGCTACTAATTTTTTTTCGTAGGGGAATGTTAATTATTGGCTACTAAAAAAAATTTAGTAGCTAAAAATATTACAATTGGCGACTAAAAAACAAATTAGTAGCTAAAAATATCACAATTGGCGACTAAAAGAAATTTAGTTTGCAAAAATGCCAAAAATTGGCGACAAAAAATACTTTTAGTCGCCGTAGGTATAGATTTGGCTACTAAAACCTTTAATCGGCAAATGTAAAATAAAAAATTAATTTTTGTCTTTGGCGCCAAAAGTTGATTTTCAGCGACAAAATCTACTTTTAGTCGCCATAGGTATACATTTGGCTACTAAAGCCTTTAGTCGGCAAATATAAAATAAAAAATTAATTTTTGTCTTTGGCGACTAAATATTTAGTCGCCAAAAGTTGATTTTCAGCGACAACATCTACTTTTAGTCGCCGTAGGTATACATTTGGCTACTAAAGCCTTTAGTCGGCAAATGTAAAATAAAAAATTAATTTTTATTAATTTTTCTTTCTCCTTTTCCTTATATTTGCCCTAGCCCTTTACAGATGTTCTCTCTCTCTCTCTCTCGCGGTCTGAATCTCTCGATCCCTTCTCCTTCATGTTCTTCTCAATCCCAATCTGGTGATTCCGGCGGACTTTGCAAATGGAGTCTCACGGCGCCGGTGAATAGATTCAGTGCATGCGTGTGTGTGTGACAGAGAGAGAGAGCAAGAGAGTGCATAAAAAGTGAAGCCTTTTTGGTTCAAAGAACCTCCCTCTTTGTTTCTCTCTCTGAAATCGTAATCTGAGCATCAAATGTAGGAGAAGAAGAAGAAGACAATCAGACCCATAATTACACCTTCTCCTCACGCGGTAAATCCATCATCACTCATATATTCATAAATATGTCTGTCTCTGTACCTATGTATTTATTTATATATATGCACGTTTTTTCTGATTTTGTTTATAATGGAATCATTTGATCTTATTCAAGCTTAATTTGATTTTAAGGTTAGGTTTCTTTGTGTCTTGATTTGGGAGATGAACAAAGAACGCCCTTCTGAGCCTCTTGATTTCTTCATTTGGACTGTCAAGGTGCTCTTTTTTAATTTCTCTCCTTATATATTATATTTTATGCTGATCTACGATTCTGATTCATTCTTTTGCTTTATCTTGGTGAGGTGTAATTGGGTTTTTCTTCTTTTTTTGGATGTCCACTGTTTGGTTGCTGAGAAAATGAAGGAAAAAGAAGGAAGTTTATGTCTTTTCTATCACTTAGACCTGAATACATGTCATTCTCTATATAAATATTTGGATTTTAATTTGGGTTTGGGACATCACTCAACAATAAGATTGAACTATATTGGCTGCAGAGGAGGTAAGGATGAACTGCAAATGAGGAGGGACGACCGAAAAAATTGGATGGGTGGAGTTAGTATGGTGCAGTAGGGGGTGAAAGGAGGTTGTGGGGTCGGGTGAGTTGAAGGGGAAGGGACAAATGCAAGGGAGGAGCTGGACGGAAGTATAAAAAGAAAAATGGATGAAACTGGTGAGTTTCTTTTTTCTTCAGACAAAATAAGGGAAAATTTATCTTTTTACTACTGTCTCACCTAATCCAATTACCGTGTGTACATGTGCTGTGAATTCTACCAATTTCCATCCATTTTTTACTTCAGTCCAAACTTAATGGGCATCATTTGCTCACTTTTGAACCACAAGGGCATATGTGTTTTGGGCGCAAAGTGTAATAACCCCTAGGAACTAATTTCAAAGCATCAGTGTGATAAATATAAACATACATCAGTAACTGAGAATTCCTTTTTATATATTAACAAATGAATTCATTGTTAAAGTCAATTTTAACTCAGTAAAGATAATAGCACTAATTATCAAAATCCTAAAAGTAAGTGCTTATTTTTACTGCTAATTTTACTATTGGAGAAAATTTTGAGGTAATACCTTTAGAGCTACCACCATCACCCAAAAATCAGACATATTAGAATCAATATCAGCACAACTATCATTGATTATCCGTTGTAGATTTGAGCATGTGATTGAAAACATGAGAAAATTAATAATCTAATTATTGTTACAGGTATAATTCACAGTCAATTACAATTTACAGTAGAATAGAAGCTCCATATGTCATAATTACCAACTAGAAAAATTGAGAATTCTGCACCTAGACCATCAGGGGCCCATCACAGTTCATCCTTACCTCATCTGCAGCCAACCCCTATATGCTGAGATATGTATGACTACATTCACTTGCTTGTCATTTCTGTTGTGCTTTTAATTTTGTTTCAAGGCACTTATATATATATGACTACATGACGGATCATTTGTTGAAAAATCACTTTTGTATTATGTTGTTCAACTTGATCCTTTGTTCTATCTTCCATTACTAAAACTTTAATACATCATGATCAAATATAACTTATGTAATTGTTTGAATGTTTTGATTTAATCTCTCAACAAATACATCTTACAGTTGCCTCGTGATGGTAGGTATACAATATCAGTACAAGATGCAGCTGCAGAGCTTCGCTCAAGCCAAAAGTCTCGATTTGCCGTTGTACTCTAGTAAAAGAGAAGGCAAACCTCATGCTCTTCAATTCCAGGCTACAGTTACCATTGATGGGCATTCCTTTGAGAGTCCAGGGTACTTTAGGACTTTAAAAGAAACAGAGCATGCCGCTGCAAAGGTTGCTTTGATGTCATTGTCGCTCGATGGTTTTCAAGAGGCAAGTTTATAAAGTAGTTCCAGTGCTATAAGAAATGCTACTACCCTAGTGATAGAGTAGTTCTTTACAGTAAACTCATTTAAAAAAAATTTCCTCTCCTTCTTCTTCCTCTTTTTTTTTTTTTTTTTTTTTTTGAGAAATAAGTTATAATTGATAATGTAAATAGAGTCTTAATGTTGCATTAATCTTCTTGGAAAAATTATGTCTGACAGTTATTTTGGTCACTTTTATTACAGTTAGTTAATTGAAATAGTTCATTTATTTCCTTGCTTGGTTGATTAGCCTCACATGTTTATTTCCTACACAAGTTTGTTATATTTCTTCATATTGAATAGAGCTTACAGGCTTAAAAATTGAGGTCTTGCTAACATATTGAACTTGGAGCATTTACATTGGATTAAGAATTTTAAATTTATTTTTTGATGCATTTGACTGATAATGTAATAGGTATTTTTTGATGGCACAGAACATTTTCATTAATTTCTCTCCCGAGCAAGCGGTGTAGTAGTAAGAATTTGATGCTCAGGTTTATTTTTCACAACATATACTCAACTGTTAGAGTGAGTGTTTTTGTTGTACTGTGCTATTTTAGCACTGCTAGAGCTTACACCAAAATACTTCATTACTGAAGAGGCTATGGTTTGTATGCAGAGACTAGCGTCTGATTTCCTTTCAAACTACATATTCTTAGCTGTTCAAAGCGTTGGTTCAATTCTTAGCTATTTTAGCACTGCCATTGCAGCTGTGTGCTACTATGTGATAGCTAAAAATATTCTTGTCTTCCCTCAATTATGTTCATAGGAACTAATTTAGTGACAATTGGTTGGTTACAAGTTAAAACTGGAGATGTGAAAGGCAATGATTTTATTTATCTTTTGCTGTCTCAGATATACAATGAACAAATCGGAGAATTAATTGATCCAACCCAATGAAACCTAGAGGTGGGTATTACTCTATCTCTCTCTCTCTTTTCAATTCCTTTTTGGATTACTTTTATGTGTGCTTAATGGTGGTTAAACTGTTGCAGATAAGGGATGATGCCAAAAATGGATTTTATGTTGAGAATTTGACTGAGGAATATGTGACCTGTTATGAGGACATAACCCAAATATTAATTAAGGTAGCAAATAACAAGGCATTCAAGTTTTGTTCTTTTTTCCATGAGCATGTTTCTTGTTGTTTATTGAATTAGTGCTATAGATTGCTACTTGTTGATACTTCATGGATAAAAAAATAGTGTGATAAAAATCCACCAAAGATAGTGTGATAATATCATTAGTTGCATCATGTTGTAATCAAAAAATAGTGTGATAATATCATTAGTTGCATCTAGATTAGGTGCATTTAAACATATAAGAAAAAATTGATTAAAATATGAAAAAAAATTCCACCAAAGATTAAAAAATACGAAAAATAAAATTTCGTAAACAAATTTCAAATTTTATTTTTTGGTGGTGGTGGTGGTGGTGGTGATTCACAGTTCGTAAATTTTTAACTTGTGGGGAACATTAGAGTCCAGGAATGAAAATGTATGAGTTGCTGTTAATGATCAATTTGTGGTGTTTCTTATCCCTTTGGTATTCTTTACAGGCACGAAGCTGAGCTTGTTGCAGCGGCAAGCCAGCCCTTTCCTGATGATGATGACGATGCATTTGACTAATGCTCATGGCTTTGGCTTTCTACTATCATTTTTCGTGCTCCTTTAGTTAATATGAGTTCTAAAAAAAAAAATTCAGCGCTATCGAAGGATTTGTGTATGAGAGGTGAATGTATCACGGAGAAGAGACCATTTTAGTTATTCTTTAGCCATTGTTTCAAGTCTGGTTGTGGTTGTGCTTTGTGGTAGAATTCTTTAGGCTGCCATATGGATGTTTTGAGTCACTTCAAGTGTTTGCTTCAAGATTTTAAATTATGTATGGATTTAAATTATTGACGTTGGATTAGACTTGGACTGTATGGAATTTGTAATATATATAGAATTGGACGTTGAAGATTACTTTTTTGGATGCTTGGAACTGAAATGTGTGCACGTTGTTGAATGCTTTAATGGTTGATAATATATTTTAGTGTTGATGGATTATATTATTTTATACAGGGTACAGGTTGTAATATAAATGAATACAGGTTGTTTACAAAAAAAAATTTAAAAAAAAAATAAATTTATTTGGCCACCAAATGTTTTGGTAGCCAAATAGGTAATTAAAAGTTTTGGCTATTAATAATTTAGTAGCAAAAACATAACCCAAAACGTTTTTGCCACCAAATAATTAGTAGCTAAAAGATTTGAGAATGAGAGAAAGAAACTATTGGCGACTAATACTTTAGTGGCCAAAACATACCTTTTGCCGACTAAACTAAGATTAGTAGCCAAATGTGTACTTTCGGCGACCAATTATTTAGTAGCTAAAAGTGATACCTTCCCCGACCACAACAAGTTAGTAGCCAAAAAGCCTCATTCGGCAACTAAGACTTTAGTGGCGGAAACATATCTTTTGCCGACTAAACTAAGATTAGTAGCCAAATGTGTACACTTTCGGCGACCAAACAAATTTTTGTTGCCAATACTATCGCCGACAGGGTAAAGGGGACGAGCTTAGCGACGAAAAATTTTGGTTGCGAAATCGTTTCGGCAACTAAATAAGTGACTTTTGGCGACCAATATTTTGGTAGCCAAAAGTGACATTTCTTGTAGTGTATGTTGAAATTTTTCTAGCTTGAAATTTCTTTAATTTGCTCAATTTTTTAAATTTTTTCTGTATTTTGAAATTTTTCTAATTTGCTTACAAATTTCTCATAACAGAACCCAAAGTCTATTTTCCACAAATCGTCGTGAAGTGTTGAGTGAGCCATTTTCCGAGTCAACCCAGTTATGTAGTCTTTCTTGTCACTCTCAGTCTCGGTTGAGCTCACCACGGACTCTACCGGAGAACTCAAATCTAAGCCAAACCTATATGGAAACTCGAGAAAACAAAACCTAGAATTGACCTCTTTGTTTTTGGTTTTCATAGTGTTTTCTTTGAAGTCCATAAGCATGTCGTCGGTGAGAAACTATGGAGGAAGCCAAAACTCACCATTGTCTAACTCCTCCGCCATGAAAACCCAAACCAATCACTCATTCAAATCTGAACTTAAACTCACAAAGAGTCAAAAAGATGGGGGTTTTTGAAGACCCTTTTGGGTTGCTGTTTCTTTAAGATTCAATTATAACCTCCCCAGTAGTGTTTGCTGGCTTTTCAGGTCCCCCAAGCCCTAAAACCCCCCAAATCAAGAGGCGAAAGAAAGGAAGATGAGAGAGAGAGAGACAGACAGACAGACAGAGAGAGAGACAAAGAGACGCAAAGAGATTGTGGAATGTCGGGTGGGCACGGGTCGATTGCCGTCACGGAACCTTCAATCCGCCATCTGTCCGCCAAATTGACGGATTGAAGAAAAGCAATCTGCATCCGTCCGCCAATTCGACGGATGTAGATTGAGTGGATTAGCGGATAGATGCGAATCAGTTTGGTGGTTTAAAATTTTATAAATCTTCAATATAATTCAACTTATGCGCTTCCTCAAAAAAAAAAAAAAGTAGTACAGTCAATTTTAAAAAAGTATTACAATCACTACATGTCTTATCTAAAGAAAGAAAGTTTGAAACTTTAGAATATTATAATCACAACATGCATCATCCACATAAAGTATTATAATCTGTGGTTCTTAAAATATAAAAGTAATTCCAACCATCAAAACTATGAACAAAACAGTAGTAGAGATTGTATGCCTATATATTGTTACATTTATATCTGTTTTTGAAAATAAAAACCAACTAGTATATATCATTTTTTTTATTTATTATTTTTAGAGTTAGATTCAAAAACCAAAAAATATAAATAAATAATACATTTATTTTTTTTAATTTAAAAAATATATTCAAGTTGAAAATTCTTTTTCAACGGAATATATTCAACAGAATATTTAAACTCTTTTTCAATTGAAAACACAAATAGAATATCTAAACAAATTGAAAACACAAAGTCTTACAAATTACTAGGGATGCTCACAGTTTGGTGGTTCGGTTGTGGCCAAAGGAACCTCAAATTCGTCATCCATCCAAAACTAGATGAATTGGAAAAAAATCAATCCGCAACTGTCTGGTCACCATCACGCATATGTCCAAAATGCAATAAATCAGTTCGGTTCGGTTCGGTCGGTTTGGACGGATCAATATATCCACCACACACCCCTAGTAGAATGAGTCTTTGTAAAATGAGTAGAGTCTAGAGCGAGAAAGGAAGAGTGAGAGGAGAGAGTAGAGAGAGTAAGAAAATGGGTGTGATATATAGGTGTGAGGTGAGGACTTTACGTTACAAATAAATATTGTAAACCTCTCATATTATTAAAAGTTGGAGAGGGATATTAGACTAAATATCTCCGTAATTAATTTGAATCTAAAAATATGGTATAAATAATACTTACTTAGTAATTTGGTATCCTTGGTTCAATATTAGTTGGTATTATATTTATATGGGTTTGGCTTTCCTCTAGTCTCAAATCGAACTAGAGGGTACTATTGGGCTCGTGGAGGTTCATCACGGGTCCTGTTTTGATAATTCAAACCGTTCAATATGTAGAAGTCGTCAAGTTCTATATGCCTATAAAAAATTAAATTGATCAGATATCGATAGCTACGTGATCAAATCAATTTTGTACATTAAAAAAAAAATAGACGGTGAAAAAATAAATGGCTGACAGAAATCTGATCCGATGAAATAGCTATCAATATCCAATCAGCATGATGTTTTACAAGCATATAGTACTCGACAAGTTCTACATATTGAATGGTTCGGATTATTGAAATGGGACCCGTGGTGTCCCTCCAATCTGATCTAAGACTGGAGGGAAGCCAATTCCTATTTATATAATTTATTCAATGTTAACAAGATACATATTTTTTAGTTCTTGTAATGATTTATCTATATCTTGAACTATATAACTAAATTTAATATATAATTTTGGTGATAACATATGCAATTTGTCCTAGTTGTTGTTGATATAAAAAAATAAAATTTAAGTTGTCCACATGAACGATAACTATGAGTTTAAACTTAAACAGTCCAATTTATAAATACAATGTAATTTTTTATCTATTCATTGATATTTGATGAAGCTAATTTATTGCATAGATGACCTTCATTGCAAGATTTATGAGATGTACAATTTAGATCATCATTTTAGGCCCAAAGTAGGATTAATTATCTAATCTTCCATGATAGTGTACCCTTTCACTACAAGGAAGCTGTACACACATGGCCCCAAAAAACAGCTACAAGAAATTGTACTTTTAGCAACCACTTTTGGTGACGATGTCAATTTTTCATCGCCAACACCATACTTTTGGCGACCGAGGATGAACCTCATTGGCAAAAGGTAGATCTTTAGCAACGCAATTCACTTTTTGTACCTAAGAAGGCAAAAAAAATCATTAGGCACCAAAAGCTGAAAATGGCACAAAAATGATACATTTTTAGCACGTGTTTAATTTTTGGCAGCGCAATATGCCTTGCTAGTAGTTCGTTCAGTTTTGGCGACAATTTGCTAGCGTTGGCAAATAGTTGAACTTTAGCTACCAAAGTATTGTTCATGGCCGAAAGTTTTGCTGCTCTTTTTTATTTATTTACTATTATTTTATCTAAAGCGGTGTTGTTTTAGTTTTTTTTTTTTTTTTTTTTTAAAAAAAAAAACACCCAAAATTATCTTTCACTTTCCTCATGATTTTCCTTCCTTTCACAATAAAGAGTTTTGCCGACTCACTTTTGCCAATGGTTTGCCAATGTGACTTTGTGTGTTGACAAAACTCTTTATCAACAATTTTTGTCTTTTGCTGACATATTTTCTTGCATAGGAAAAAATAGTTTTTGTTGTAGTGAAATAGTATGAGAAAATAATAAAATATGATTGGTTCAGTACATGTAACGCCTCGAAATTAATGACATAAAGATAAGTTTAATTAATTCAACTAATCACACTAATTTCAACTCAAATGATCAAATCTCTATATTCGTATTCATTCATATGTGAAATTTACAAAAGGGTCCATATGCAATACACATTCAATCCTCTCAAAGTTGAATCCACATCGTGTGAGACAATTAAAAATGAATAAAATAACAACAAAAGAATGCCTCATGGTCTACAAGTTCCAAGACTTAGGCCTCGTTACACGAAATGTGATTATCAAACACACACAAGTAAAGCCCTTGGCTTACCAAAAGAACTAACAAAAGAAAGAGCCTTGTGCTCTCCAAAGACTTCTCACGCCCTTAGCTAGGCGGGATCACCACATCATTTCCTGCACAAATCCACTAAGAGTAAATACAAAACCCAGTAGAGATATTTTTACAAAATATATATGTTTAAGCTGTCTTATATACATGAATGCAACACTATGTCATGTTCCAAAGTTTACAAGTTTTATTTTTCAAAAAGAATAATGATTTTTTAAGGACATTTCATTATCTCAATAAATTTCAAATTTTAAATATGGGGTGATGAATACAACTCAGGTGATTCTTATAATGATATCTGTAAGTAGGCATAACAAGCATTACTAATCCCCCCACTTTACCGGCTCCTAATCGGAATGGTACCTCCTCCGCGTGTATTTTCGATTTTTCACTTTAGACATTTAGGCCAACTTAAATAATACTATCTACACCCCCCTATCCAGACTTCCAAAACGTATTACCTAAAACATTTTAAGATTTCCAATTGTTTTCTCAAAACAATAAATCAATTTCTAAGGCATAGTCATGATAAACGATATTCAAAACTATGCAAAATGAATGAAACGAGATGCAATTCTAAAGTTTCATCGTAACATTCTACAAGTCTCAACATTTGCTTAAAGCATGACCAAAATCCAAATCCATATCCATGTGATATATGATACCATTTCATATTCACAATCAATGCTCATTTTCATTTCCATTTTTCAAACATATACACATCATGTTG